GATCATTCTTGCTTTAGTCATCATGTGTGCAGCAGCGCTTCCCTTCCAGGTGTGGGAGCTCTGTAAAACCACAGGGCCTCTCATACACTGAGTTCATCCTTGGTCATCAAATGCCATCAAGAGACTGTCCAAGCCAAACATCAGGACATATGATCTGATGGTACATTGAACTTAGGAGGACAACAAAGCATAATTTTAAAGTCATCATAAAAAAGAAAAAACTAATCACTGTAGCCATGGAAACTCTCATAAAGGCATGTTGACCACACTCCACATCCTTTCAAGGCATAAGGGGCAATTTCCATCTTGAGAAATTGTGTCAGCTCATGGAAATCTAACTCAGGGACCTGCAGATTTCCTCTAAGAATGGGCAAAATAAGGAGAATCATCACTGAGCTTTGTTTACGGTGATCTCGTGTTTCTCTGACACTTCCTAAGGCCTGTGGCAGGTAGAGATGCATTAGATGCTGTTGGTCTTTGCAGCAGCAGTTCATGGACTGTTGAGGGGGAGGGGATAAAGCTCAGCAAGTGCCTTTAACAAATGCTGTTGCTCACACAGTAGGAGGAACCAATGGAGACCTTGGAGGTCACCTAGAAACACTAGGAGAGGGAAAAGGAGAAGTGACAGAGAGAAATGTACTGGAAAAGGACTTCAGAGTCAGACTATAGGGAAATGAAGGAGACCAGAAATACCAAGACCTCTGTGGAGACATCAGGGACAACTGTTCAGCCATTATCAATGGCAGTTGCCCTTCCTCATCAGGAAGCCACCAAACACGTTGCTGTACTTTGTAATTGCAAATTGATGCTTCCCTTTGAAAGTAACAAGAAGCTAGAAGAGGGCTACAATTATCTACAGAAAGAACCAGTATAGGGGCTGGGGATTTAGCTCAGTGGCAAAGCGCCTGCCTGGCAAGCGCAAGGTCATGAGTTTGGTTCCCAGTACCAGAGAAAAACAAACAAACAAACAAACAAGAACCAGTATATTATTGTCATTTATTTGACCTTGACAAAGATTTACCACTTACACATATTTATGATTATTTATCACCATTTTTATGACCTTACTTGCCCATATCAGAGAGTAAAAAAAAGGACCAAATTTTCAAATATTAAGAAGAAAGCACGTTAAGTTATTTATCTTGGTGTAATTTCTTATGCCCTAAAAAAGTGTAGGTTCTTTTCCCTGTGTTGAAAGTTTAGTAAATATCATACTATGCATGTTTACTTTACAGAAATTATCATGAGTTACATCATTTAACTTAATTTATCATTAAAATGCTCTTAAAAGACTCTTCATTTCCTCTGCTTGTCCTTAGGAAACATCACCTTACATAAACTGCTGATCATATATTAAAGCATTGAATATCTGATTAAAATAATCTTGTACATTGTGGAGTAAAAACGTATAATTCATGTTTTCAGCTCTCGCCAGTTTCACATTTTATTTAGTATAATATATCTATCTAAACCCTAGATGCTTCAAAATTAAAGTTTGAAGCAATATCCCCTGTTATTTTATATTGAGGCTCTACTCTGTGTAATCATAAGCCTTACTATGTGGCTATAAACCTGCTGGATTATTGTCTTTGTTTTTAATTCCACATGTGAAAAGCAAAAATGCCTTCAATGGGACCTGCCTTACCGAGACAGACTTTCCCATATATCTCATTGTGCCATAGTTTTGCTAAAAACAGGTGTTTGTCTCTTAAATCCTTCCTTATCACACCCTGCTCTTAGGATCATAACTTCATAGGAAAATAGCCCAGCTTTTCTTTTCTCATAAGTGTCTCTCTGTAAGTAAATTTTTATTTACAGGCTCTTTCTCTTGTTATAGCCTAAACCCTAAAGGCCCATTCACTAAAGGCTTTGTCACCAGCTTGTAGCAATATTGAGAGGTGGTAGAAGCTTTAGGAGGTAGGGCTGGGTAGAAGGAAGTGAAGTCATTGGGGGAGGATCTTGGAGGGCATACTGGGACCCTACACCTTCCTTTCTCTCTTTCACCATTGGGCAAGCAGCCTCTCTACTGTGTGCTCCCACCATGATGTCTTAAGCTGCCACAGGCCCAAAGGAACAGGGCCAAGTGACCATGGATTGAAACCTCTGAAACTATCAGCCAAAATAAAGCTATCCTCTTTTAAGTTATTATCTCATGTGTCTAATCATAGAACAAAGCTTACAAACACGCTGATCCACAGATCTTCTGACTAGGTATCATGTGGTCATGAAGCCCAGAATACTTAACTTCCAGGCAGGTAGAACTTTAAACGCTGGGATATTGTTCACAGGTGCAGAAGAAACATATACTCACCTGTCTACCTCCTGACTTACTCTGAAAACCACTGCAGTGGTCCCTACTGATTCTCAGACACCTTCCCTTGGCTCTGGTCCTGCCCTTGCCACACAATCATGTTTCCTTTAAGCCGATGCTACTCAAATCACAGCACGGACCACTTTAGGAAATTTGCATTAATGAACTAAGTCACTGCATAAGTTGTTTACCATATTCCCACCATCATATAGGATGACACTTTGCTAGACACTGGGTAGGTGAAATAAGTCTCTGCCCTCAGAGGCTCACTGAGGAGGCTAACCAATTTCAGAAAACTCCAGTGATTAAAACCTCATGTCCATTGTCCTCAACTACTAGTCCAGAGAGTGAGAGACAGAAGGAAGAAAGGAGTTTCACAGAGGAGGGACAGCAATTGCCAACAGTGTCATAAGCTCACGGATGCAGTATGTCCCATAAAATAGACAAGACCTTACTGCTCAAGAGACCATAAAATTGGACCCTTCTTCATAAAGTCAGGTGTGAATGTTTTATTGTTTAATTAATTATCCATTTATCTTTCTGTCTTTAAATATCTGAAATGACATTTTTCATGTTTTGGAAAGGCACATTGCCTTTTCAGGACAGCTCTTATTATGACAATTTTTATATTGTGGAAAGCTTTAAACAAAATCAGGCTCTCCATAGGACCTCATTTAGCACTTGAAGAACACAAATGAATATCAAAAGATACTCAGCCCTGGTAGAGCCGAAAGGTCTGTTACTAAAGCATGGGGAAGACCAGAGCTTGGGTATGGACTTGCCATGAGCTCCTACCACGGGGGTCTGCAGATCTCCTTCAAGGGCCTGAACATTAGACCTAGTCTTCCACCCATACCCATGGACACTTCTCAAAGACCTTTCCTTTGGGCATTTTGCTATAACTTGTACAGATTTAATCCAAAAACTTCAAGCACTGTGCTAGTCGGCTTTCCAGTGTTGTGACAAAATACCTAACAAGAACAAACATGATGAAGGAAAAAGATTTTTTGGGTCGTGGTTTCAGAGGTTTCAGTCTATGGTCTCCTGGCCCTGTCGCTTGGATCTGTGGGCAGGCAGAAATCATGGTGGAAGCATGTGGCAAAGGAAATTTGTCCACTTCATGGTGGCCAAGAAATGAAGGAAGGAAGGGCCAGGGTCACACTGTCCCCTCCAAGAGCACACCCCTGTGACCTAACTTCCTCCAACTAGGGCCTACTTCTTAAGTTCCACCACCTGCCAGTAGCACCGCAGGTTGGGAACCAAGCCTCCAACAAATGGGCATTTGTGGACATGTAAGATCCCACCCATAGTAAGCAGGAAGAGGAGATGCCATGATACTCAGATTAGTCAACTCAGGCCCGCTTTTTCTTTACCTGCATTTAGCTTTCTTAGAGGATGCCCTTGACCCTCAGATGACAGAAAGACACAAGTTTTCTGTCCCTCTCAGATTTACTTGCCACACCTTTACTCCTCTCAATTCTGATTAACAGGACGTCCATTGTTTGTATGCTGTAATTGTTCCTACAAAATTCCAAACAGAGGGCCAGGGATATAGCTCAATGGCACAGAGCCTTCCTGGTATATAAAAAAAAACTCAAACAGAAAACTTGTAGCAGAAAATAGAAAAAGTGCTGTTGGCTTTCTTTTGTTCATCTCGTGTTTTGCTCACATTTTTGTGCCCACTTAGGGAGTGTTCACTGTGTCCCCATGAGCCTGCCTCAGTGCTAGGCAGGGGGTCATAAAAGTGACTAAGAGGTAAGCATGGCTGTGAGGAACTTCAGCTAGAAGAGAGAGCCAGAAACAACTGTGCGGTTTCTGTGAAGTGTACATTAGATGTCACAAAAGGACAAGATTCTCTCTGCCAGGGCCTCCACCAAAGGCTTTCCACAGGATCCTACACCTTGGTGTATGGAAGCTTGAGGATTGATACATAGTTAAGGATAAAACCACAGAAGTAAAGGAAAGAGGCATTCAGTTATTGGAGGGATAGAGGAAAACAGAGTTACTCTGTGTAGTCACATTCCTGTGGCTGGGATGAAATACTTGACATCCACAGCTTAGAATAGGAGAAGTTTATTTTGCCTCACAGGTTCAGAGCATCCAGTCCATGGTAAGCTGGCTCCAAGGTGGAAATAGCGTGGTGGAAGGCCATGGCAGAGGAAATTGGCTACCTCATGACAGTCAGAAAGCAGAGAGCTAAGGGAAAAGCAAGGGTGGAGAATAAATGTATCCTTCCAAATCCTGCTTGTATTGACCCCTATCTTCTGTCCAGGCTCCTCCTTTTAACAGTATATTTGCCTATAAACTCCTCCATGGAAAAATCCACTGATAAGTATAGTACCCCCATGATCCAGTCACCCTCCAAAAGCCCCATCTCTGAATACATGAGATTCTGAGGGGACATTCTAGATCTAAAACCATAACATACTCTTTGAAATAATCTGTTAGGCATTTAGCATCTTCTGCTTTCATTTTCCCTGCCCAACCATCTCTCAGCTCTGGCTTGGGAGGGAGCTTCCCCCTCTACACAAATGACAGTCCTTTTCCAGCAGTGCAGTACAGCTGGAGACAGCAGTTAATTTCTCCCAGTAACCCAGCCCCATGGCAGGCAGCACCCTCAAAATGAGCAGTGTGTGGGTACCCAGGGAGCACTAACCATGTTTCCCCTCTTGTTCATTCCCTCAGGCCTTCACCCAAGACGGGTCCAGAATTTAAGGACGGGGTGCCCATGCCCCCCGCGGCTGCCCTCCTTCAGCAATGAAAGGGTTATCCGGCAGCCGCAGCCATCACCACGGGATCACCTGCGACTCGGCCTGTGACTCGCTGTCCCACCACTCGGACCGCAAGCCCTACCTGCTGAGCCCGGTGGAGCACCACCCCGCCGACCACCCTTACTACACACAGCGCAACTCCTTCCAGGCCGAGTGCGGAGGCCCCTTCAGTGACCCCCTGGCCAGCAGCACTTTCCCTCGCAGGCACTACGCCTCGCAGCAGGAGCTCAAGGACGAGTGCGCCCTGGTGCCACGCACACTGGCCACCAAGGCGAACCGCATCCCTGCCAATCTGCTGGACCAGTTTGAGAGGCAGCTACCCCTCAACCGGGATGGCTATCACACGCTGCAGTACAAGCGCACCGCCGTGGAGCACCGCAGCGACAGCCCTGGGCGCATCCGGCACCTGGTCCACTCGGTCCAGAAGCTCTTCACCAAGTCGCACTCCCTGGAGGGGCCATCTAAGGGCAGCGTCAATGGGGGCAAGGCCAGCCCTGACGAGACACAGACCGTGAGGTATGGCAAGCGCAGCAAAAGCAAGGAGCGGAGGGTGGAGCCCAAAACTCGGTCCAACGCCACACCCACCTCCACTTCCTCACCTGGCTGGTGGAGTTCTGATGACAACCTCGATGGCGATATGTGCATCTACCACGCGCCTTCAGGTGTGATGACTATGGGCAGGTGCCCCGACCGCTCGACCTCCCAGTACTTCATGGAGGCCTACAACACCCTCAGCGAGCAGGCAGTGAAGGCTTCCCGGAGTAACAATGATGTCAAGTGCTCCACCTGTGCCAACTTGCCGGTGAACCTGGATGCCCCACTCCTAAAGAAGAGTGCCTGGTCCTCTACCCTCACCGTGAGTCGGGCCCGGGAGGTTTACCAGAAAGCCTCTGTGAACATGGACCAGGCCATGGTGAAGTCTGAGTCGTGTCAACAAGAACGCTCCTGCCAGTACCTGCAGGTACCATTTATATGTCAAAGAATGGATGCTTAGAAATTGGTCCTGACTTGTGTGGTCTTTTCTTCTGGGTCCTAGGCTTGGTTCTGCTCTAAGTTGTTGGTGTGAATTTGAGCAAATTAGTTAGTGTCTCAGTGACCGAGTGTTCCTTCCAGGCAAAAGCAAGTAAGCAAATGCTACCACCTTCATCCAGTTATCTTAAGAGACGAGAGATTGTGCTTTGCAAAGCCCTCCTACACAAAGGCAAGGAGCTATTCCCGTCTTGTGTTCTTCTGTTGTTAGAGTAGTCAAGGGATGGGGAGGAGAGGAGAGTGTAGTCAACAAAGGATTTTAAAATAAACCCAACTTTTTTTCAGAAGTAAACAGTGATCTTTGGAATTTTGAAAAGAGTTTAATTAGATCTATTCAAGGTTTTAATTTTTTTTTAGTTGTAAAAAATTCTGCATGAAGCTATTAGTTTGGGGGAACTGATCTATATCTTCACCACTGCAGTAGTCATGATCATCACCAATAGGAACCACACCCCTCCCAGCCCCCATCCCTGAGGCCTAGCACAGCCGGATGATGAGGTGGAGATGCAGCCAGTTTGGGAGCCTGACAAGCACGGCTGCAGAGGCCCAGGACAACACAGAAGAGGAGGACGGGGTGGAGCGTGGAGCATCTGCACAAGGAAATACAATTAGTGTCCGCATGTAAATCCCACACAGGCAAGACCCAAGCAGGCTGCTCTTTCTCTGCAAGGTCTTCTTATGATTTTCCCTTCAGTCTGCAGGTCACTTAAGCTAGATTGCAGCTGAATAAAAAAATATGGGGCCGAGGGATGTCTTCCCTACCTCTTGCCTCTGCCATTATAATTTTCCCCAAGACACAACCCTCCATTTGAATGACTATCATGTTTTTCTATCAGAGTACTTTTACTCTGTTCTTTCCTGCTATCTCTATCTTTTAAAAAAAAAAAAGTTTTTATTGGACTCTAAAAGTATGGCACTTTCAGTGTGAGAAGAAATGCAAGGAAAAATTCTTACCATGAGCTGTTCATCTTTTTGCTTTCTCTGAACTCCTTCTAACAGATAGGGCTCACTTGGGAGTGCTACCCCAAGTCCTGAGAAAGCTCCAGGTTGACAGTACCTAGGTAAGGAAAGGCAAGGGTCCATGTCTGATGTTTAGAAGAAGGCTGTGTGTACTTTTCACAAGGACACAATTCCATAGTCACTGTTTCCCACTGGAGGTATGTTGTCTAATCTGTTGTGAGGTTGCTGCCCATATTAGTAAATTATTGAAAACTTAATTTTCAAGCTAAACAGGTCATTTAATCCACTTAGAATAGGAAAAGGCAACCTCAGAGGAAGACGGAAGTTAAGTGGATTCCACTAGTAGCATGTGACAGAGGTGGAACTAGAACCCAAGTCTCTTTAACTTATAGAAAATTGCAAATAAAAGATTTAGAAATTACTTAAGCACCTAAACTTCATTCACCCCTGAAAGCATTTTGCATTGGTCTTTCTTTTTTATACCTTCTAAAGTCAAAATCTCAAATAGTGGTGAAATGTGGAAGGACACAGAAGGAAAAGAGGAAACTGATGTTAATTGAAGGTCTACTTTGTACTCGAAGCCGTGGAAAAAGTTTCACACACCTTGTTTTGTTCCATCTGCATAACAACTTTGCAAACTGTGATAGTTCTGTTTTTACAAGAGAGGAAACTGAAGCTTAGACTACAGTATCAAGTGGCTTAAAGCCCCATGACCTGGAGAATGCAGAACTGAGATTCAGACTTAGATCTATTTGATGCTAAAGTCAAAGAAAAGGGGAGCAATGAGAAAATAAAATCTTTAGGATAAAGCTACTATTAAAAATTCTTTAGTAGAAAGAGAATAAAATCTTTAAGATTTAAGAATAGGGTTTAGTACAGTAGCATTATTGGGTCTCATGCTTTAAAAATTTGGAAACTCTATTTCCAAATAATTTATTTTCTGTTAAGCCAGTTTTTACAGGTATTTAATTTTACTTTTTATTTCTTTATTAATTACATTTACTGGTACATTTTAGGTATATATAATGATCACACTCATCAGAAGAGATTTGTACCTGTATTTGACATAATTTTTAAAATGAGGAAAAAATGGAAACAAAGTTTTGTAAATAAGGAGGGGGAAGAGGGTTGGAGGGAAGGGAAGGGAATGGGGGGAAGAGAATCATGTTAAATCCTCTGTTTTTGAAATAAAATATTTAAGAGCAGTATAAGAAAAAAAAATAAGGTGAGGTAAGCATCCATTTGTACATCACCCAACTTGAGAAATAAAACTTCTAATTGCAATGGTTCACACGTATACCTTCCTCTGTTTCATGTTCTTTCTCCTCCTCCCCCAAGTAATAACTGATCTAACTTTCCTGCCCAAAATATTTTGCTTTATATCCTGAAGTTGTTGAAAACTTGTGGGAAATTAATATTTTCTGTCCTATATTGGACAATAATTAACCCTGATTGTGGTAGTTTAAACTTTAACTGTAAACTGAACTCCGAATCCCAACTTATTTAATAAATATTGATATTTACTGAGTTCCTGTCCTGTACAAGGCTTTCAAGCTGCAACAGTAATACTCATTCCACATTTCAGTGTGAGGTTCGAGCATGTTAGTAAATACACAAAAGGTACCACTGAGTGCTCAGGTTCCCGCAAAGACAGGGAAGGAAGAGCAGTGCATTCCCACACAGGGAGCAGAAGACGCCTCTGAGACTCAGGCCCAGCTGCTTTCTTGCACTAGGAGATGGAGAGGGAGTCTGCCATCATCTAGAAGCTCCCTCCAGGAAACAGGCTTAGCCAACCCAAGTCAGCTCCCAAGGAAGAATCTCAATTATAAAGTCATTCTTAGAAGTAAACTTGGAGCACAGGCTCTAGTTTTAGGTTTGTTTTTGTTTCTTGCTAATATTGTCTTAATTGCCAACTGGTGTAAAAGTTGGATTTACAAATGTGTTTAACGTCAACATCACAAGGTATACTTAGTGGGCAAAGCCCTGGTCACCAAGTTCCGTAGCACATTGGCCCTGTTTGGTGCTAACGAAGAACACAGCTGGGAGCCATCCATTCAGCTCTCTGGGCTTCCTTCCTCTGCTTGAAAATGAAGCATTTTGTCTAGAAGGCTGCAATCTTAGTCCACGTTTTTAAACTCCTAAGTTCCATATGTCAGGTTACTAATTAGAGCAATTTTCAAGCATCAGAAGGCCTGGGACTCTCATTTCATCAATGCTTACCAAAAGGAGATGTTTTTCAAATGATAATCTAGTTTTCTCTTTAAAACTCTAAAGGTATTTTGCAGTTGAAACACTGAGATTTCATAACTTGGGTTAACAAGCTTATCTAAAGGTACACAGAGTAAGAGGCAACAGGGTAAGGCAAAACTGATTCACTGTCATCCAGAATCGGAGTTCCTTCCACTGAGCAGGCTCAATCCTTGTTTCCTCTAGATACGAAACAGAGACGAGAAGCCACATATAAGAAATATCTGTTATGTTTCAGAAGCCATCTATAGCTATAGCTCACTGAGGACTCAAAAAAACTTTGCAAAGTACCACCACTTTATTTTTACAAACACTAAATATGGAAGGCTCAATCATTGCCAGGCATACAGAGAGAATAGTAGGAGAACTAATAGTTGGCCCCATACCTATCCAATTCCATAACTGCAAAAATAGAAATAAATGTGTTTCTTTATTTTGTTACATGTTTTTACTCCATCACAAATGTATGTGTGCCTTTGACCTCCAGCATGCACATGTCGTTAAGAGGGCACAGGTGTGGAATTAGCAGCAGAATGACTGGTGGCATGTGTCACTGGACAGCCAGTGGAATGTCTCTAATTTGATTTGAGACAGAACAAAGTACAGTTAATATTCACCAATAATAGAATCTATAACATTGACAAATTTCTGACTGTCTTTCTAGAATTATCACGTAGAGTTAACTTCATGTAGGCCAATGCCACAATTCCGTGGAAAATGACAAATCTATAGGAATTTAGCCTGTGCCCGACACAGACTTAGAAATCAGATACTCTAGCTGGGAACCGTTGCCCGTTCCAGTCAATATGTGCTCACTCACAAGCTGTTTGTAGTTAATTTAGAAAAGAAAGGCTCTCTTTTCCCCAATATTGTTATTTTTAAATGTCAAGAATCAGATGTCTGCTGTTTAGAGCTGTTGTACCACTGCCAGTGCCTCTCTGTATCAGGGTTTGGAGCAGGAACATGGATTTGAAGGCATTAAAACTGTTTCACTCTCAGTTGAGATGTGATTGGCTTTTCTACATTTGGAATAAAGCATTTATGGCACATCTCAGGGTAAGTGCTAATAGTTAAGTAAATAACACAGGCAGAGGGGGAAGTTATCTTGTTTGTGCTTTTAAAAAGCAGAATTCTTGGTTCTGTTTATGCCTCTTTGTATAAATGTTATGTGTTGAGTGACTGACATAGAAAGCCATTCAGAAGAGCAAGATTTTAGATTTCTGACTGTTAACCTAAGAGGGAAAAAAAATCCCTTCAAATCGTGGATTTTGCATTCATCCAGCAGCTGAAACAGGAAAAGGGAAACAAAACGCTCTCCGGTAGAAGTAGAGAGAGACACACACACAGAGGGAGAGAGAGAGAGAGAGAGAGAGAGAGCAAGCCAGAGACCGGCAAGACAACACTCTCAGAGATGAAATTTTAGGACAGCAAAATGATCGACCTTTTTAAGGCTGAGTGGGTTTCTTCAGTGTGTGTGCAAGTTTCAAGAAACGGAAGGACTGCTCAGGTTTGGGTATAACTCTTTTATTACTTTGTGTTTGATGAGTACATGTTGTTGGTCTGAGTGGGGTTTTCTTGCGGAGGGGAGTGATTTAGGAATGGTGGTTTTAGTATTTCGCTATTTTATTTCTTCTCTGAATAATGGCTAGCAAACCTGAAGGAGCTAATGAACTAAAGTCTGTTTAAATGGCAAGAAAACGGTGGAGACATTAGCTACCTACAAAT